GGCGGCCTCTGGAGTGCCCCAGGTATGTGGGGTGCGGTGAGGCTGCCAGCGGGGTGAGCCCTGGGCCGAGCTCCCACCCTGTCCCCTCCTGCCTGGCCCTGGACTTCGCACGAGGGAGGGTCCAAGGAGGTGGCCGCAGGCAAAAGTGTGAGCGGGATGGGGTGGGCAGGCAGGGGGCTGTTAATCAGTAATGCAGCTCTCCCTAGGGACATCAGCTTGGCAGGAGGGGGTGAATGCCTGTGCCCAGCAGGAACATGGGAGGAGGACCCCATCCCAACCCCTTTTGCTGCAGCACGAGTGCATCCCCTCTCCTGCCCAGGGCCCCGCGCAGGGCTGACAAGCGGCTCTCTGGTCTGCCAGCTGCCACAGCAGTGCTGGGGCCATGTGAGTCCAAGCAGGAGCGTGGTACAGAGGGTGCCCGGTCAGCCAGCTGCAAACACATCTGCAAGCTGTGGACTGATCCGGGTCTGGAGAAAGGCTCGTGAGCCCAAAAGCTGGGCTGCCTTCTCCAGCTGCTTTAGCTGGTCCCAAAGTTTCTTGACAGCCTTGCCTTGAACCTCTGCAGCAGCTGTGGAGGCAGCTTTGGGAAAGCCGGAGCTGGGCATAGTGTGTCCTGTCCTTGGGGATGTCCCCTGGCAGGACAAGCCCCTGGGGATGTGCTAGCCCGTGGAATTCAGGTGTGTGCCTTCAGGCAGCCCCACAACTGCGGCATTGCCCCAGATGCTCATGCTGCTGCCCACAGCTGTGTCCTGTTCCCGGGGCTGGGCTGCGCGTGGTCCCCTCTCCTTGCTCCTGTGGGTAAGGAAAAGGCAGGGGGTGTGAAAGCGTTTGTGTTGCCAAAAGAATCAACACCCTGCTGTTGTGCCCTGTAAATCTTCCGAGCGTTAGAGGTTGGCGTTATCCTCCCCGTGCTGCAGTTCAGTGGTTTCCGTCAGCAATAACCTGGCCCTGCATTTGGGGGCGTTGATTTAAGGGCTGTTGCGGAGGGTGTGAGGGTTGTGGAAAGGTGTTTTCCTGCTGCCCAGCCGGTGGCAAAGGGGCCGTTGCCAAGGAGAGCGGGAAGCGGCGCCCAGCCAGCTCTCGGGAAGCGTGGGTGCCAGCGGGAGCTGTCTGGAGAGAATTGGGGGACAGCGGTGGGGAGCAGCAGGTCCCTCGCTCAGCCCCACAGCAGGGCTGCACCCGCAGAGGTGAGTGTAGCAGTCGCAGCATGGTCTGGAGAGAATTGGGGGACAGCGGCAGGGAGCAGCAGGTCCCTCGTTCAGCCCCGCAGCCAGGCTGCACCGCAGAGTTGAGCGTAGCGGTCGCCGCACAGGTGCATCACCGGAGCTCCAGCGCAGGTGGGATGTGCCTGCCATGGGCTCTTGGTAGTCGTGTGTGTGTGGACACCCCCAGGAGAGCAGGCAGCTCTGGGTGACTCCCATGCCAGCCGGACCACCCTGCTGCGCTGCAGACAGCCCGGTTTGGGAGCTTGGACCCAGAGCTCCCAGGGGAGAGAGTGAGCTCCCAGGGCAGAGCCATGCCTTGGCTCTCCTTGGTGCACACCAGTCGGTCAGTCCTGCTGGTGACTGCATCGCTGGCATGGAATAGCCCCTCTCGCCTCGCTGGTGCCCTTTGGAAGAGGCTGGCGTGCAGCTCATCAGGGGTACCTTGTGCTTGCCTCTAACCCTCCCTGCACCAGGCCCTGCCTCCTGCGCCCTTCTGCCAAACAAACTTCCACCGGGCTGGTGCTGATGTCACACCTTCCTCCCTACTTTCCCTCCTCATTCCCTCTTGCTTTAGTATGTCCTGATGGTGATCTCTAAGCTAAAGAGCAGCTAGAAGGGCATCCGGAGTGGTCTTACACTGGGGGTAAGACCTGGAAGATGAGGGGCCTGTGCTCCGTTCATAAGCTGGTTTGGACCCCACGTGCAAAGAGCAGCAGGAGGATGGAACAGCAGCGCTCCTTGCATAGCCCTGCCCGGGGCTGGGCACTGCACAGCCCTTGTCCCCATCACTTTGCAGAGCTTGGCCTTGCCCCGGCCACAGCAGAGCCCCTCATCCTCGGGAAAGGTTATTCTGGGATCTTGGAGTGGATGCTGCCAGGTGCTGAGCATCCACATTGCCATGAGGTGGGTGTCCTTTTCCATGCTTAGGATGTTCAGCCTGGAAGCTGATGGGGACACTTGGGAGAGGTGCCAGGCATGAACCTGGCTAGGCAATGCTCCTTGCTGTTTGCACCCATTCCCTTCCTGAGATTCAGGCTGACTCTGCACATCCAAGAGCTCAGAGATCCCAACCCAAGGCAGAGGCTGCTGCGTCTGCGCCTCCCCAGCCTGGGCTCCCTGCACGGGGAGCTGCACAGGGGTACGGAGTTCCAGGGAACCTGCAGGGAGGGGCTGTGGGAGTTTGGTGCTGGGATCACTGGAAACGTGAGCTCAGAGGAACCCCTGGGAGCTGGGAGAGACACTCATCCCTTCCAGCACACAGAGTCTGTAGGTTTGGGGTTTGCTCACTCTTGCACCTTCTCCGCTCTCTTGCACATCCCTTGCCCCA